TTTGTGAACCTTAGTAATTCTTTTGCTTTTATCAATTTTTTACACTTCAGTATTTAAGAGCAATGAAAATGTTTTATAAAAATGAAATATTGTGTATATCAGAATCATAAACATGGGGAATGAGGAGTTAAAGGAAAAGAAGCTATAATCTACACTAATAAAAGAGAAACATGCAAATTGGTGTCACTCCACTATGCCCACCAGCCATTCTGGATGAGTATGCAAATTAACCCAACAAAGATGGTGGTTAATTTGCATATGCAGGTGCAGAGTGAAGACTGAGAAGACTGAAGACGACTGAAGACTGAAGACGACTGAAGACTGAAGAGACTTGCCTTCTCCGCTGTGGCTGGAGCGAAGGCCTGGGTCCTGGGTGCCGGAGGAAAATCGGTGCTGGCAGCCAGGGGAAGGAAGGCCTACTGCACGAATCTCTTTGTGCAGTGGGCCTCTAGTATGAAATATAAATAAAGCTGTGGTAATGATATAGAAAGAATCCCTTCTCTACCATCTCTCCCAACGTATATAAAGTAAAACACAGTAAATTTTTTTTGGAAAATGGAAGCAACATTTAAAAAGCCAAAGTGGACCATCCATCCTATATAATGAAAGTACAGCGACCAAACGGCAGAATGACCGGTTGACCAGTTTCTATGACACGCACTGACCACCAGGGGGCAGACGCTCAATGCAGGAGCTTCCCCCTGGTGGCCAGTGCGCTCCCACAGTGCGCCCCTTGGCTGACCAGGATGAGCGCCTGCTCCTGCAGCGGGCCGATCCCTGCAGGCCATGTCCCCCACCAGTGCATGAATCCCATGCACTGGGCCTCTAGTTTTGTAAATAATTCTGATGAGTGTTAACATATATTAACCAGTTAATATATGTTAGATTCTGTGCATAGTATGTTACATGCTAAATTATGTCACTTAATTGTCATAATAGCTTTTGTGAAGTAAATGCAATGTTAAACCTGTTTATGCTTAGGATAGATGCAGGTATAGATAAGGAAACTAAAGCTATGAGAGATTAATAATAGCCTTTTCAACATTATCATAAAGCTAATACATGGCAGAGCTAGAACTCAAACTCAGATTGCCATAATGACAACATACTTTGTATTACAACACTGTATTGCCTCTTTTGTTATGAAGTTAAATATTAATTAGGTATCTATGTTCATAGAATTTTACAAAATGTATATTATAGGGAGAAATTGATTAGTAAAAATATTCAATTGGCACTTCAGATGCTAAAATATGTTTTTTTCCCTCCAAAGACAGATGGTCTTAAGGTACTTAATCTACATAATTTCTCAAATTTCTTTATTTTAATAACATGTAATGTGATTTACCCTATGAAATGATTGATTTATGAACATTTTCTTTAAAAGGCAGTGTAGAAGAAAATAAAGTATCATATCGTTTGATTCAGTAAATGTTTTATTAAATGCCTATTTTAAGGTGGGTATTATGCTAGATTTATTAGATATAGTAACCTGATATAAGATATTGTTGATAGAGTAGATCATAAAACCAAATGTACAAAGGCATCACCGATTCTCTTAGTTGTCTGAATGGTTTACTGGTAATAAAGGAAGTAGTTTAATTTCTTAACTACTTCCCTTTTTTTCCACTTTTTTGTTTTTAAGTATTCTGTTTTGAGGTATGAAATTATGGAATAGTTTAAAATACTTTTGAAATGCTCTAATACTTTAAGGTGTTTATATATAAATAATATAAAAATTAAGTGTTTGTGGTTTTAGAATGAGATGAAGTTTAATTTGATATTTAAGTGTTTTACATTTTAGAGAAAATGTCTAGGTCTTTAACAAAACATAAGTACTCTTTGAATATTTTAATCATGGCTCTATTATGCTGTTAAAATGATTTATAATCAAATCATTCTAAGACTGCTTTCATTTTGTTGTTTTACCTGAGAAAACATCCTCTTTTTTAAAAAAAAAAATATTTTTATTGCTTTCAGAGAGGAAGGGAGAGGAAGTGAGAGAGATAGAAACATCATTGATGAGAGTCATTGATCAGCTGCCTCCTGCATGTCCCCTATCAGGGACCTAGCCCGCAACCCAGGCATGTGCCCTTGACTGTAATCGAACCTGGGACTCTTCAGTCCATAGGCTCATGCTCTATCCACTGAGCCAAACCGGCGAGGGCGAGAAAACATCCTCTTATTTCCTGTTTTGGTTTACATGCTTCAGTCAGATTGACTAAATCAGGATTCTAAAATGAAGGTGCATAACAATGAAATCGTTTAAAATTTACACACACACACACACACACACACACACACACTCTAGAGACCTGGTGCATGAAATTTGTGCACTCGGTGGGGGGGGGGGCTCTCTCAGCCTGGCCTGCACCCTCTCGCAGTCCGGGAGCCCTTGGGGGATGTCTGAGTGATGGCTTAGGTCTCCTCCCCGCGGAGAGCGGGCCTAAGCCGCCAGTCAAACATCCTTAGCGCTGCCACAGAAGCGGGAGAGGCTCCCACCACTGCTGCTGCTCTCGCCAGCCATGAGCCCAGCTCAGGGCTTCTGGCTGAGCGGTGCTCCCCCTGTGGGAGTGCACTCATCACCAGGGGGCAGCTCCTGCATTGAGCGTCTGCCCCCTGGTGGTCAGTGCATGTCATAGAGACTGGTTGTTCTGCCATTAGGTCGATTTGAATATTGTTCTGCCATTCGGTCGATTTGAATATTAGCCTTTTATTATATAGGAGGATAAGATAGATATCAACTGGTGAGAAAGGGATCACAGCTTTTATCAAATATTGAGATGTGTTTATTTAGCTGCAAAGGTTAATGAACTATAATTTGTAAGGTAATGAAAGTATTTTGAGTAATAGAGGTTTTTTTTGTTCTGTTCTATACCTGTCATAGTGTCTTGTAAATGTGTAATATTGAATACATGGATTCATGGTTCTTATTCACCTTTTGGAGAGCTCATTCTTCATTCCTTATAGCCTAATTTTGCACTACTTTCTATCTTCAGCTGTTTCTGATGGTGTGCTACTGCCTTAGCTTTTTTTCCACCTGTCAAACTAAATCTTACATTTTTATTTTGGAGCCCAAGTCAAGATTTATTTTTACCCACATTTTTCTCATCAGTAATGATTTTTTCCCATAATAATGGATTTTTTCAACACTAATAATGTAGTTTTATTTTAATAATCATGCTTTGTATTATACAGCATTTATTCTCTGTTTCAGGTATAAAATGTGACTAACATGATGATTGAAATTGGTTTTATATATGGTTTCTGGTACCAGTATAACTTTTTATTTCTTTTTTTTTTATTGGTGTGGTTTTTTTATTTATTTTGATTTTTTACAGAGAGGAAGGGAGAGGGATAGAGAGTTAGAAATATTGATGAGAGAGAAACATCGATCAGCTGCCTCCTGCACACCCCCTACTGGGGATGTGCCCGCAACCAAGGTACATGCCCTTGACCTGAATCGAACCTGGGACCTTTCAGTCCGCAGGCTGATGCTCTATCCACCGAGCCAAACCGGTTAGGGCTAATTTTTTATTTCTGATGTACATATCTTATCTACTCAACTTTTTTTAATTGGTTAATTTTCTAATTCTTCTTACACAGAGGAAAAACTATTAGACTAGTACAGTGAACACCTTTATGCCTTCTACCTAGATTCAGTAATTAACAATATATTGTTTTGCTCTAACTATATAGTGTATACATATATGTTTTTCTGAATCATTTGAAAATATATCATAAACTTGACCCCAATATTTTAGCATGCCTCTACTACTAATGATATTATCTTTCCTAACTATGATATCATTGTTATCAGAAGAAAATTAACAATTTTATATCACTTAATATTTTCCTTAATTAAATTTTAAGATATTCTATAATAGGAACCCTGGTGTTTATTTTGATAAAGTACATAACTTCTAGTATGGTGTTGGCATTCACTAGGCACTTTAAAATGTTTAATTATATGGTGTATTTTCATATATTATCATCTATGGTATTTAAGATTTAGGAACAGCCTAAAAGATTATCTATGTAGAACAGTATTTTCAGATGCAGAACAGTTCTGTGTCAGAGCTATGTTCTTATCATTATCAAAATTATCATTCCTAACTTGTGCCTTGTTAAGTCTTGGGATCTGTGAACTTACATGTTTTACAAAGTGAAAGCATTCTTTTCTGAAGATTTAATATTTATGTGTATGTATGTATATTTGTTTTTTAAAACTTATATTTAATAAGATCACATTAATATTATGTATCATCACCTATTATTTCTAGGTTGTTTTCTTATGCATTATGCTTTATAAACTGGAGGTTCTTACTGGATTTTATTTATAATTTTGATAAGCTAATAATTAATCTTTATCAGTGATCATTTCCTGCATTCACAACTATATTTTATGGTATTACCTTTGTAGTTAAGATTAAATCTGTATATTTTAAAATTATAATTTTCTCTGGATATTTTTGTTGTATGGAGACCTGGTTTCAATTAGTTTTTCTTTAAAATAGGCTTTTAAATATATCAAAATTCAAAAAAACAAAACACAATACCAAATAAACCAATTTGACTGTTTTTCTAATGCTTATATATTTTCATCTTTTAGAATTCTAATTTATATGCTTGATATATTTAACTTATTTATGAAGGAAGGGTTTGCTAAATGAACTAGTAAAATAAAGATTATAGGCTTTAACCATCTAAAAATTAAAAATTTCAAGCTTTAAAAACTTTGCACATGTATACAAATATTATGATGATGGACTTTTTTGTAACATATAATACTACCTTTTCTATCACATTTTATATATTTGTGCACTCATGAAATTCGGTTTAATAAACGTTCAACTTCTTAGCAAAGAATTAAAAGCAAATACTGTCTTGGTTTATTAATAATTTGTATAATATAAAATTTAAAGATACTTAATACAAAATAATAATATTGTTCTCTGATAAAATTGTATTTCTGACTTACGTTTTCTTTTTTATCACAGTAAATCAAGAGGAGTTCATTGCTATTATGACTGGTGACATTTAAAGAATTACAAGGAAAAACACTAAGAATGTTGCAGTTATCATCTTATATTCTATTTTTGTGCTTGGAGGCATGTAAAAACACACACCCCAACTTAGTTTTTGTTTTTTTCCAAAAGGGACCAAAAATAAGCATCTTATGTATTCATATTTTACTACTGTTAAGTTTCTTTGTATGAAAAAGTATTGTTAGCACTCTAATAGTTCATAGCATTGTAATTATAATATAGCTTTTTATATATATAAAGTTTAAAAAATTGAATCGTGGTACAAATTATTTGAAGGTTTTTTAATTGGCATTAGTCCCTTTTGTTTTGGTGTACATGTTTTTCAGACTTTCATTAATAAAATGTTTATTTTATTAGTATTTTAAACTTTTGTAAATTTTCTGTTTCATTTTTATTTCAAATACTTATTAGCCCCCAATAGTATCTTTCTTAAATCTTTCCTCTTTACGCTACTGGTTTCAGAAACATAATTGAAATACAAATAACAATAGAATAGCACTTTTTTCCACTACAAGTTTAGCATTTCATGTTTCCATACAAGATGATGACTCAGTACAGGTGTCCCCCCAAAATGTATATACACTTTGAATAATTATCTATATATATAAAGAGCCAGGGGCCATCGCAACCGAACGGACGACCGAACAGGCTGAGTGGGGTGACCAGGTCGGCATGGGGGTTAGTGAGGGACGACCAAATGACTGAACAGCAGGCTGCGTGGGGCAACCAGGTCGGCAGGGGGTTTAATGAGGGACGGCCAAACGACTGAACAGCAGGCTGTGGGTGGCGACCAGGCCGGCAGTGGGGCAGTGAGGGGTGATCAGGCCGGCAGACGGGGGCAGTGAGGGGTGACTAGGCCGGTGAGGGGGGGCAGTTGGAGGTGACCAGGTTGGTGGGGGGGGGAGCAGTGAGGGGTGACTAGGCCGGTGAGGGGGGGCAGTTGGAGGTGACCAGGTCAGGGGGGGGAAGTGAGGGGTGACCAGGCCGGCAGAAGGCTGTTGGGGGCAACTATGCTGGCACGGGGGCAGTTAGGGGCTACCAGGCTGGCAGGGGGGCAATTGGGGGCGACCAGGCCAGCAGGCAGAGGTGGTTAGGGGCGACCAGGCAGGCAGGCAGGTGAGCAGTTAGGAGCCAGCGGTCCCGGATTGTGAGAGGGATGTCCGACTGCCGGTTTAGGCAGGATCAGGCCTAAACTGGCAGTTGGACATCCCCTGAGGGGTCCCAATTAGAGAGGGTGCAGGCTGGGCTGAGGGGACACCCCCCTCCCCCCTGGAGGAATTTTGTGTACTGGGCCTCTAGTTAATTATAATGGGTTAAATCTGAAAAGAAACAAACATCAATTGAGCTATCAGCTGTTAATGTGTTAGTACATTTTGGGGGACATCCTGTGTAAGCATAATTCCTTTTTTAAGAGTCATGTCTGTCAGTTTGAAGAAAGTAAGTTTTGTGCATATAGATCTATTTATTCTAGGGTATTCTATAACGTTTTTGGTGTCTTAATGTAAGTTATGTCAAATATGGATATTTCCTTCTTAAACTAATTGAATATAGTTTGAATCATCTAACTTCTTGACAAAGTGAAAGATTTAAATTTTGTAATTTTGATCTGTTAAGATAATTATCATTCAATTAAACATAACAGTGATGCAAATAGAAAATTATAAGCCACAGAAATCATTTAAGACTGTTTTACCTGTATAAAGGAACATTCTGTGATTTGCCAGGAAATAGAAGAGACAGATACTGCAGGTGTTGGTGGGTTCTTCTGCCTGTAGTAGTTTATGTTAAGGGGAAACAAATAGTTATGGGAAATAGGTAATAGAGAAATTATATCTATACTGGTCTTTCACTAATAATCCAGTTCCTTTTGGTATGGGCTCTCCAGGAAGAAAGTTGAGTTGTTTATTCCAGTGATCTTTCCTTAGATTTCTTGTTTTAAATGTAAGGTACAGTAATAATATGAGGCTCTTTAAATGTTGTGAACCTCCTAGAGCCGTGGTCGGTAAACTGCGGCTCGCGAGCCACATGC